CATCATTGGCTTCCTCGTCGGCAGGCTCCATGCCCATGGTCCCGCGAGGGCTTCCCGCCCTGCTGAAGACGGCCCGCCAGGGGGACAAGCCATACTGTCTGTACAGCCTGGAGGACCGTCTGTTCCACGAGAGGCTTCTGTGCGGCCACGTGGACGGCTCACGGTTGGTGGCGGCGGCGCCTGATGCCGACGTGTACGCGGAAGACTTCGCCGACGAGACTCACGTGGAGATCCACCGAGCTGGCCCTCGAGGGAGAGCCCCGCCTCAGCTGCGCAAGAAGATGCTGTACCAGTTCGGCCTGGACGAGCAGGCTCAGGCCGCCCTCCTGAGCGAGGGGGCGCCGCTGGCGGAGTCTGAGCGCCGCGAGGCGGCCGGTGGCACGGACATGCCGCGTGGTTCCGAGGTCGGCCTGGCGGCTGGCGCTTCGGAGCCGCCGCTGCCTCCGCCGAGCCACGCCCCCCCGCCTCGCGCGGGTGCCGGTGGTGGACCCCTGCCGCCGTTGCAGCCGGACGTCGGCTGGGTCGCCCTGGAGTCGCGGCGGGGCTTCAGGCGGGGCTCGTCAGTGGACGTTACGTTCGCCTCCGTCTACGCCCTGGACGACCGCGTCAGGGCCTCGTTCCCGGAGGAGGTCATCGCGCTGGAACGAGTGGAGACCCTCTCCGAGGAGGCGCCGCCTGCTCCACGGGACGCGCGGGATGAAGTCCTGGACGAGCGCATCCTGAGGTACCGGAGGAGCGGTACGGGCCAGCGGCGGCACGCCTTCTCGGAGGTGGCCGCCGAGCAGCGCGAGGTGCTCAGGACTCAGGAGTGGCGCGTGCAAGGGCCCGCTACCATGGGCTGGCTGCTTCAGGCGCATCTGGGGCAGGGTAGCGGGCCCGTCCAGCGGCGCTACTGGTGGCGTCAGATCCTGGGGCTGGCGGCTGCTGACCCCGGGATCGACGAGCATTTGTTCTTGTGCGGGTTGATCGAGACGGCCTCCACGGCCGACCAGCTCAACCTCCCCGGCTGCGAGGCGTCCGAGCTGGCAGCCAGGCGATTCAAGCTGTGGGACGAGGTGTACTCCGAGGCCCTGCGCCAGGTCGAGGTCTCAGGCACGGTGGGGGCCACGGCAGACTCAGACGGCTGGCTGGACGCGCGCAGGATCTTCCTCAGCGGCTCCCGCTCCAAGGGCCACGCTCTCGGGGCGCCACCCTTGGAAGTGCACGTGGCGGAGATGATGCAGGAGGAGGTCGCCATCCGCAAGGAGAGGCGCAAGGGCAGAGAGGAGCGCCGCATGGCCCGCGGCGTGGACAGCAGCGGCGCCGACGTCGCACCAGGAGGTGGCGATCAAGGTGGTAGCGGCGGCGGCGCAGGCGGCGGCGGCCCTGGCGGCCGAGGCCGAGGTGGCCGCGGCCGCGGGCGGGCCTAGCCCGCCGCTCGTTTTTCGGCTTGCGCGCGGCCGCTGCAGCCCCCCGGGCAGCGGGCGCTTTCACAGGGGAGGGCCGCCACTGCGGTGGTGATGGCGGCCTCGGCGCAAGGAGTCTCGGACGCTGGCATCGCGCGCGACGTCCTGCCCCTCCCGTTGGGCGTGACGCTCGACGAGCTGCTGCACGGCGCGGCGGCACGCCTTCTGCCGCACGGCGGCGGTCGGCGCGGGCGGCAGCGCAGGCATCAGGAGGTCTGGCTGCGCGAGGGCATCGCTGCGCTGAACGACCTCGGTGGGCGCGGGGTGGACGCCCCCGCGGGGGCCCCTGCGGCCTGCCAGGTCACCGCCGTGCGGCGCCTCGCACAGCTCTATGGCAGGGTGGAGCCGCCGCCGTCCGACCTGACTCCCCTGGGGGCGTGGCAGACGCTCCAGGCTTCGCGGAACGGCTATGCAGACGTCATGGCCGAAGGTGCTTCGACAACCTATAGGAAGGGAGCCATGGCGCTCCCGCGGGCTGCGGCGGGGCGGGTACGGCTTGCTGACGTTCTGCCGCCGCACCTGCAGTCTCTCTTGTGTAATTCGTCGCAGATGTTACGAGAGCCGGAGGCTCGCAACTTTGCTTTGGGTGAGGCTCCCAGGGTCTGCGCCATGGACCCAGTGTTGCAGCGGCATGGCTACCAATATGGCGAGTGCCTCTCCGAGCTGCTCTCTGCGGGCATCATTGAGCCTGCGGCCGAGGACAGCATCATCGAGCGCGCTGGCATCTTTTTCGTCCCAAAGAAGGACTCGTCGCTGCGGCTGATCTTCGACACCAGAAGGTCTAATGCCCATTTCCAGGACCCCCCCTACACGCTGCTCGCGAGCGGGGAGGCCCTGGCGAACTTGGAGGTCGACGCTGCTGGAGGGATTGCTGTGGCCTCTGGTGACGTCGAGTGCTGCTTCTACCAGTACGAGCTGCCGTCGTGGGAACGTGCCTTCTTCGGTCTGCCAGCGGTCCAAGCACGCTCCTTGGATTCGGCAGCCCGCCAGCGCCTGGGGGTTTCAGACCCCTTGGAGATGACCAACTTCGTTGCCAGAGTGGTCCCCGTGGGCTG